AATATTGCTGACAAGACACACACACATGAGTAGAAACATAACCTCTATCTACTTTCTATTGGCAGAGGTAATAAGACAGTTTCTTACTAAGTATATTTATATATATATATATATATATATATATATAAATTTGCAATTTCAAAAAACTAGTATCTGACTCGTAAACACAGCTTGTCATATAAAAGAATTTTCAGCAAAAAATAACCATTTGTACAGTTTTTCTTGTATTTTGAATGATACATGGAATTTGTTGATTTTACATCATGCTTCAAATTCAATAATATTCAAGTTGTATATTAACATTTCTGCTTGGTTTGAATCTGAAATTTTTATTGTTAACAACAAAAATGATTTTCTCAGTTAACTTATATTGTTCACATTGATCTGTGTGTGTGTGGCTATATATATATATATCTTTAAAGATATATATATGTATATGTAAAGTCAACTATAAACAAAATATGTATTAAATAGTTTCTTGTTTCTCAGGTATCAGGTCACAGAGTAAGCCATATGACATTATGAGTGAGGTGTTCAGGGCTATGAAGGCTTTGGATTTTGTAAGTTTTGGGTTAATTTGTTTAAAGACATTACAGCCTTTGAATTTCCCAGTTGAAATAATGTGTGTTTGTGCGTATTTTAGGTTATTTCCTTGTTTTAGTTGAATATTTATATAAGGGAAGAAAAAAGATACGTTATGAATGGAACTTCATGATTCCAGGTTTATTTTTGTATTCATTGAATTATATTTGAATCTCTTTTTAATTTCAAAGAAGTAGTAAACTATTGATACATGGTTTTCTAATTTTAAAAGATGTTTAGTTTATCTCAACCTGCACAGATGCTATGTTACTGGAATATTGTAACTTTTGAATCTACACCTCTATCATGTTATTCTTACAGTGTTATCACAATTACACGAGAAAAATATTTTGTTTTTCACGAAGTGCAAGATGTAAAATCCTAGTAAAAACTTGTGCATTTCCAAACCTGTTTTCTTCATATTTGAAATGATAACACTGTTGTGCAGTGTGATATGATGTTTTTGTCAGGTGTTTCCTGCGACAGTTTTAAGATTGTTATTATCTAATTATGTGTTATAAGTTTGGCCTAAGGGTAGCATTGTTCCTGTGTTTCAGGTAATATGAGTAAAAAAAAGATTAATTTAAACTTTTATAAAGTATGTGTGTATGTGTTAGAGTATCATGGAGATGAGTCAGAAATGAAGAGTCTTAATGAAAAATTCCAAGAGCCAGAACTAATCAGAATTATAAGTAAGTAATGTGTTAGACTATTGTAATAGCATAAGATTAAGTGAGCAATTTTCAGGATTTTTTTTTTATTTTTGTGTAAAATTTTACATTACATAGTCTAGTCAAGAGCAAACACAGGTAGAACCATTATTGTTTGGAGATTGATGACATGTTTTAATTCTTGGAAAAGCAGAACTGTAACAAATTGTCCTGTTGATTTATTGAACTTGCAACACGAATGCTAAAATTTCACTTCTCAATAATCGAGATTCACCTGTCAATTCAAAAGAAATCTTCATGTGGCATCATGGTGCTTCTATAGATTAATACTTATCTTCAGCTTTCTAGAATAATTGTGTAATTATGAATTTAATCGTAAGTGATAACACAGTTTGTTTTGCTAATTTCCATGCAGAAACTATTTACTATTTGTACTTAGGCTACACTCTTTCATTTGCATCTTCTTAAATTTCTCCTTATTCATCATGCCAAGTTTTTTTACACCATTTACAAGTAAAATGATACTGTCCCAGTAAACAGGGTTTTATTATTTTAATATGTGATGCTTATGATGAACTGTATTCATTCTGTTATCAGGGCACTAATCAAACGTAAGTACATCATATGCTTAGTGATTCCTCTTGAACTTGAATCAGCAAATCACTGAATATATTTATAACTGAATATTTCAGGATAATTACTGAAGTATTATTTTGTGTATAACTGAAATATAGGAGTGGAAGGCTGTCAATCCTTTCCATATTCGGGTTCGCAGGAAAAATCCAGTAACCTCAAAATATGTAAGTACTTTTGTTTCATCTTATACTTCGTGATACATCGTATACAGGTATAATACCCAGAAAGAAAAAGAAAAGAATTTATTACACTGTTAACTATTTTTATATTTATTTAAGATATTAGATGGCAACCTTAGCTCTCTTGTTTGTAATGTAAAATGACACATTAAGTTTAATAATTGTTTTAAGAAAATTGGTGAAGTGCCTGACAGAGCCACTGGTAGACTGGAGGTCATCTCAAGGTCCATGGCTGGACCAAAGAGACAAAATCTGGGTTTTTGAGCAGTTAACCACGTCCTATACAGATGAATTTCAAGTTTTAATGATACTTTACTAAATTTTTGTTTTTCCACCAATAATATATTTATTATTTCTAGCTGTACTTCTGCATATAAGTACAATGCTCCAGGTAGCTAGTGTATCCATGTAAAATATACATAATTTTTGAAAGATACATGTATCAGTTACAGATGTACAATCATCAATGTGCTACAATATGAATTGGTGTGGCTGCTGGTTACACACTGTGAAAATGGCTATTTTTTACATGGATGCATGAATTGTGGTTAAAAATAAAGTAAACCACAGCTAGGAGTGTAACAATACATCAAACTGTCGATAGATTGTGATTTTGAACATCCTGATAGCAATGCATCAATGGTAAGTTTTAGAATTGATAGCAGTACCTGATAGTATCCCCAACTATCAATGTTTTTGATAGTTTGCAAACTTGGTTATTTTCCCCATTCTGTTTGTTTTATCTAAGCCATTTCTTGATAATTTCTCTTTGTGTTAGACTGGTTTTACAGTCCGTACTCATCTGTAAGTCTAAAAGTGCATATGCCACATCCACCATTAGTAGTGTTGCTCATGCAGTGGAACCAAGCCCATATTGGAGAATTAACGATTACTACAATTTTGAATTTACTATGTGTATCTTCATGAAAATTGGCAATCTTTAAATAAGAGTGAAGAGTGTCTTGCATATAAAAAAATCAGATTTTTTAAATAAAATATTTGCATGTAATATGAATTTCACAATAAGGATAACTTATACTTATTTTCATTTTAAAGTTTTCATATTTTATTTGCATCATATGAAGAACCTCCTAAATGTACATCAAAAACTTGTCAGTAACATATATCTGAGCTATAGATTTTTCTACAAAAATAACACATACTTGAGGTATAATATTTTTGAAGATCCAGAAGATGAGGCTGTTACTAATCTTGCAGATTTTTATGGAACCAATAAACTCTCCAAACTTTCAATAATGCTGGGAATAAAACAGAAGCAATGCCTCTGCTTAACAAAAATGATTTGGTACAAAATGAGTCACCTATGTTAAATTAAGGCATATTTAAGAACTCTCAAATTGAACATTTATGTGAAAAGGTTATTAAACTTCATGGTGATCAATCTCCTAATGTGTCAAATAGCTTTATGCTTTTGTGTAACAAGCATTGATTGTGAAAATAAAAACTTGTAATGTTAGATAAGAAAACATAAATGAAAAAGAAAGTGTCTCATGCAAGCTGTTCATACATTATGTAATCCTTTACTATAACTTGAGTTGTGCTCTAATTGTGGGATATATATAGTTTTGTTACATAAGTTTTGTAGTTAGATGTGGTTCAAGTAACAATAAAATTAAATGAAAACTGATGTAAAGTATTACAAGCCTGAGGCTGTTTAGGATAAGTAATTGGAATTTTTATCATAATTTGCTGTCATTCTAGGAACGAAGAAGGATGATCATTTTTTTGGTAGTTTTGTAATAGGTTAAGGTAGTGTATACCCTTTAAATGTCAAAAAATATCTATTTATTTTTTGAATTCTTAACCCTTTCACTTTCAATGTCTAGTGCAAAAAAAGTCTTCGCTAAACTCAGAACCCATAAAAAGTATGAAAAATAAAGGTTTTTTCCATTTAAATGCCTTTAAACACATTTTTCTCAAAACCTGACAGTTGACATTCTTATTGTGGTTTTTAACTAATAACTTCAGATCTATTGATGCTATAGACTACAGTTGGTATAAATATTCATTATTAGTGTATACTAAGGTAAAGTTGATAAGCGGTTTGGTTTTTATTAAATGACCATTAACCTACTGAGGGCATACTCATTAGTGCTGTAATTTGACCTTGAATTAATTTTCAGATTTACTTAGTTCAGACGAATCCTTCACATCACATTAAAGTCTGAACCCATTTTCAGGAGCTTTCAGTCATGTTTGTAGAAGTTATCATGAATATAAGACATTTCTTTTGTATTTCTTTATTTTTATAATATGCAAATTAGCCATCGTGGTAATGTTGAACAATGTGTCAGAATATGTCTTTGTACCTGTTTCAATATATTTTCATACAAAAAGCATAGTATGAAGATGTTTTTTCTGATAAAATGGCAAAAACCTAGATAAAACTGTAAAGGGTATACGCTACCTTAAAGTTTAGTCAAAATGATCGAATCCCTATGAAGAAAGTTGATAAAACAACAATTTTGAAAAACAGTTTAATCTAAGGACAGGTCATAAAGTTTTCCAAAAACTGGTTTCATGACCATAAGTAGTTACATTATCAGGTTGTTATGTTTACTAGCATTCATTATCAACATTGCAAGAGTGAGACTTCATAATTTAGCATGGGAAATCACACAATAATAGGTGTTCCATTTATCCTCTTCCCATTAAATTATATTTGAAGTAGAAGGAACATGATCAAAATAACCTGACTTTCTTTATGGTTTTACACTCAGCTAATCCATATGCACTGCCTTGACTAGCTGTGAAATAGAGCACAATCTCACAAAACATAGCTTCAAAGTAGTATAGTGTTTCAGGGTCAATGACAAACAAGCTACATGAATGTAGCTCAACAGATTAAGAGCTAACAAATGTTAAAACTTTTATTTTATCAGGAAGAATGATAGAGAGCATTGGGAAAATTTTAATGCATCAGTCTTGTGGTGGTTTTGTGAGCTCCATGATGTAAAGTACACTTGTACAGGCTAAGTTCAAAACCAGTAATATGTATAGAAGAAAGAAAGAAAGTACTCAAGTTTCATCGTTATGATTATCTATAACAAACACATTGGAAGTGTAATGAATTGTGCACTTTTTCTATTTTTTGTGTACCTTGAAGGTTCTTGTAAGTATACAAAATTGGATTGAATCTCATACAGTGCCCATGATAAGCCAGCAGAAGACTCAGGGTCTTGGAAAACTGAAAGCCACGTGTTTAGTAGAAACTATAGTTGGCTGTTTTGTTTTCATTGCTTCCTTACTATAAGATATGGAACATTTAAACTGCAGAGTAACCATATTTTAAAGCATTATTTTGTCCACTGTTTATAACTGTGCTTGAAAATGAGTTTATAAGTAGAATAAAATAAGTACAACAGCATTAGAGTTTAATATATTAGACTGACAGCACTTTCACATACTCTCAATAAAAATCACAGCACCAATGTGTTATGTCCACAATAAATAAATAAACATATATATGATTTTTGTTTTTATTGAGCACTAGTTGTTCCTTTGTTTGGTTATAGGAGTTAGCTGTTTTCATGAACTTGTAATAATGCTGGGAAAATGACGTAGAGTTTGTGTTGAAAATAGATTTCGTACGTATTTTAGAAAATATACCTATCTTATGTATGTGAAAAATGTGTCAAACTAGAAACAGCTTGTATCCTTTAAATTTTTCTGGTGAACAACTAGTTTTCACAGGCATGTAATATAGTGGTGCAGGATTAATAACTCGGTGTTGGCATGCAGTTACTATGTTGGTATAGGATTAATAACTGTTGACTGGCAAGTAATACGGTACAAAACAGATTACAATTCAGTAACTACGTCAGCTGCTTAATTTACACTCACCTTTGAATATTAATCATTGTATATTTTCTTTAACCACCTGACACTTATTGGAGTTATGTACCATACAACTAAGTGTATATTTCCAATTTTCTAACATGGTTTCTAAACATTTGAGGCATGTCATCATCATGTATTTACATCACCTAAAGCTATATGTAGTCTCTTCTCCATTTTGACACTAACTGTATCATTTTTCTTTTTTTGAATATACTTATTTACAATTTGTTCATTGGATAAATAAAAGGTTCTAAAATATTTTCAAGTAATAGGAACTATTTCTGTTTGTAGCATGCTCTTTCTCTTTACATTTATACTTGTTTCACTTTATTTCTATTCCTGAAGCATTAATTAAACAGCTTATTTTCTTATTCTTTGAGTAAGAACTTTCAAGAATAGTAATTACATAATAATGTTTTCAGTTAATCACCAGTTTTGAAATATTGGTATGTTTTTTTTCTAAAGGAGGAAGTTATCTTTTTTCAACCTATAAAATGGTTAAGCTACCATAATTTGTTTAACAGGTTAAGATGAGCCTTCAGCTTTATCAAGTTGACTATAAAAGTTACCTCCTGGATTTCAAGTCCTTGGATAGTGATGATAATCTGGAATCAAGTAAGTGAAGTTCTTTCTAGTTAAACTACATTTAGCATAATTAATTCACAGAATTGTGTGTATGTTGAAAAACCACAAAGCAGGCTCCTCCTCTTACTCCAGTAAGGTGAATCACTAGATTTAGCCAACAGATTAAGCCCTTGCCTTTTTTTTTTTTTTAAATTGGGAAATTTTCAGCATTTAATATGTCACATGCAATTTTCTGGGGGAATTTGTAGGTAAAATGTAAAACAAAATATATTAATACTCTGCTAATATATAATGTATGATCCTAGGTTCTACTTTTTTAAATATTGTGAAAGAACATATGATAATTATTATTCACTTTCTTAATCTAATTCATACACTAATAGTTGTACATAAAAATTGATATATATAGTAGTAATGATCCAGACACGTCATGTCCCAGCCAGCAGCCTGATGGGCCCGGCTATTGGGTGAAATGCCATGTAAGCACTGGATATGACAGACTGTGTGTGTGGTTGATATGTTCTAACATATTTTCCTTTGCTTTCACTCATGGGTTCTCAGGAATGTTAATGTAACAGCACTTGAAGTGTGTGTACATTGGTTTAGTTAATTTCTCATTTATGACAGAGTATATACCCTTGTTTAAGCTTTGGGATTTCTTTTTAATTCCTGAACTGCCACAGCTTTGTGAATATTTTGTATATACCGTCTGATTTACATATTGTAAGAATTCTCCTTTGATGCATAGTATTTTACATGTGTAAAGTTTCAGGCAGTAAATTGTAACAAACTGAATAAATGTAGGTTACTCTGAATCACTGCTATATTTCTCTATTGATGTTGATTCACACAACGTAGACAGTTTTTTAAAGAAATTATGAAGTTTATTATGTCTTAAACAATATTGGTTAAGATTCTACCTTTAAGTAATAAACACAACTTTTTTTTTAGGTTCAATGACCAGCTCTACTGATTCCACTGTTTTTAATCAGTGTCACCATACTATGGAATTTTTTGAAATGTGTGCAGCTCTTATCACCCAGCTTGCTCGTTGATCCATGGCGGTTTTTATGGCACTGTTCACAATTGGAAGGAACTTAGCACTCATTCAGACTCCAGCTGATCAACTTGAGTTCCAGAGAAGGTTAAACTGAAACAACTTTTGGTGTAAAATACCTGTTGTCTCAGTTCTATAATCAAAAAAGAATGTTTTAATACTTTCTCTGATCATTGAGTATGGAATCTATATATATCTATTTTTTTTGGAATTAGATTAGAAAGCTATTCATGTCAATCAACTAAAGAATGAAGTATACCAGATAGAATGTGATGTATGTATTTATAAAGTACATTTAGTAACTGTATTGTATTCAAGATGTATAGACTGGAGAAATACTGATTGCTTTTTCCATACTAAATAATGTATTGAAGTACATTTATATTTACAAACCTTGTAAGAATTTCCTGTTAGGTAGTAGTGTTCAAGTTTTATTAATTTTAATGGCAAAAAGGGATTCAGCTTCATCATTAAAACCACAATTACTTATTATTGTAAAAACAAAGATATTTTTCTGCATTTCAGCCACAATAATGTGTGCACATGTTGAAAAATAAACTTTCCGGTACATACTATTTAAATGAAACAATACCAGAAAGTACTTGTATGTATAAGGTAAATTACAAGTATCTCTCTGTTTATACAACATTAATCCAGCTACAACTGGAGGACTGAAATTTCTGGACCATTTTACAGAAAAATTTATTTCCATGAACTCTCATATTCATTTCAGTGTAATTACTAAGGGAATAAATTAATCCAGTCTCTTCTCATAGGATTGATATGATGGTTATAGTTAGTAGCTACACACTATAAAGTTTTTGTTATTGAAACAGTATCTTAGTTTATAAATTGTCTGGTCAATTTAGATGAAAATGGAATTAAAATAATCAAGGAAAATTACTAGTTTTGTTAAAAGGTCTAAGTGATTTAGCAGTCAGTTGATAATTATTAATGAAGTTCACACAACTTGTGAATTGTGCCTAATGGCCTAAACATGTAGCAACAATGTGGTTTACATGGTGTAGTATTCTGAATATCACAAGATACAGGAGTAAACCAGTTAGTTTTTACATATTCTGAGCAACGTCAATCCAATGAAATTTTCTTGATTTTTACAATTAGATGCTGTATTGTACACAAAAAGTTAAAATTGACTTAAGTTTGTTGAAACTACATGCATTTTACCCAGATCAATTACTGAAAATTGTTTATTATACAGGAGGTGCCAAAACAAATTAAATGGGAGGATGTTTTTGTTAATTTAATAGACAACAGTATATATATATTTTTTAAATTTGTTGTAATATACACTGATTAGCCAGAGGAAGAGTTGCAATTATGAGTATCAATTATTTAGTATTTTAAATTGGTTTTCAGATCTGTGCAGAAGATTCTCTGTAAATAACTGTATTTGTAAAGCAAAATAAAAATGTTCACAAATGTACATAGGTATGAGAATAAAAATATTTATGTAACCCTTGATAACTAACACGGGGAGGGGAGTTATATAAGGTTCTTAACTCTCTTTTTTTTTTTGTAACAAAATATCTTCACACCAGGAGGTAAGATAGGATTTTCTTCAAAGTCATACCATGAAAATGTTCATATAGACTGAACTATGAGCTGTTTATTTCATCATTTAGCTATTAAATGTTATGAAGATTTAATGCACTAACAGACCAAAAACAAGTATAACAACATGGTAATAGTTCTGGTCTAAGTTGTTCCATCTGTCTTTATAATATGTACTAACTGCTAATAATACATATACATCTTAGTACAAGTCATTACAAGGTTTAAGGAAGTTCTGCTTTATTTGACAAACAGCCAACTGTACATATAATTCATCTTAAGCTGAAGTCGGTGCTGATGCAGAAGCCACACGTTTCAACGTTTTAGGTTTTATTCCTTCTTTGAACCCATTCCTGAAATTAGATACTTCAAATTGTTATACATCCTTTAATTTTACTAATGCTATACACTAAGAGCTTACATCATGCTTTTAGAACCATTAAGTTCTTGAAATACATAACAGTCCAATTAAGCTAACCCAAACTAAACTCTTTATAAGCCATTTTTAATCTTCTAACTTCTTGTACAAATATTTATGTAAGGCCAAACTCACAGACAATTCTATAGCTGCATTTCAACATGATTCCTATTCAATGTTTCAATACCATACAGACCAATGACTTCTGGTGTTTAAAAACGTCATTTAATCCCTGTAAACAGTTCGCTATTTGTAGTACAATATAGGAATCAAGCCAAAAATTTCATTTTTCAGAAAGCTTGAGTTTGATTGCCTTTTTACACTAAAATAATCTGTTAAGTTTGGCACACATCAATAAATAGCATTCATACCCAAAGCACAACTAACAAGACTGTAAATAAACTTACCTAAACCTCTGCCAAACTTTTTTAAGATGACGCAGTCTTCCAGTTCCCGTTGTGTTCCTTCTCTTTCCTTTAATGCTCCAGTTATCTGCAGAAGTTCATTTACATAAATTATGTGGGTCAGTGCTTTCCACAGCAGTTATACTTTTTTATTTACTGAATGAGATTTCTACCCATTAACACTACACAACTAAAATACACAATTCCTTGGTCAGATACACTGCCAATTCAGTATTTTCAGTTTTGATATAATATTCAATGAGAAATATTAACTATTAAATTTCCTATTTTCTTATAAACAAAGACAAGTCATTTTTTTAGATTAATTTAAAAAGCTAGTTGTAATAAAAGTGATACAGCTATTCTTTCTGATTTCTTTCATTTGATTGGTGTATTTATATGGGAGTGGTCACATGGAAAAGGAGTATAAGGGATAGATAAGGAAAGAGAGTGGAATTTATCTTCGTAAAACAGTAGTGAGAAATAAAAACTATCCAATCTTTATTCTAAGAGTATTTGAGCCATGTTATAACAGACTAATGAAACAGTATAACTGGCAATGAGGAAGGGATCCTAGAAAAACTTTCAAATGTGAAGCAACGTGAGCAAGAAAGAAAACTTTAAGATAATAAAAGACTCGTTTTCAAAATCAGTAATATGGCCAAATCATCCACAAAATTATCACCATATCCCTAATTCAATAAAGGCAACAACCTTGAGTAAGAAATGTGTGTTTAGGCATTGTCATCTAATAGACTAAGAAACCTTATACATACCATACTAGACTTGTGAATTTAGTGATCCACATTGAGGAATAAAGTTGTAAGTAGTGCAAAACACATCATCACCAACAGTTAGACATCATGCTGTGGAAGAATTATTCAACTTTGCAAGAGTGATGAAGACATCTCAAGCAAAAATATATGAAGCCCTGTAGTGCAAGCAGGTAAATCATGGAACTACAAACAAGTGCAAGATCAACATAAGAAAAATAAGTCCAATGGGAAGCAAACAAAGTCATTGATAAACCTGCAGCTATGGAGGCCCATTTTCCCACTGTGGAGGACTTTCCTGCAGTCCAAATATGGAAAAACATTCCATAACTGCAATAAGCACAATGATTTTGTATGAAACATTTCAAATGAAGCTAGCAGTTATATAAAGAATGTGAATGTTAACAAGCTACTGTTATGCACCCAAAGAACTCAGTCTCAGATCCTGAGAGTACTTGTTCAGAGGAGATAATGGACCACGAAGAATGACCTTACAGAAATTTCAAACTGTACTCTATAACAGGAAAATTATGTGCAAGTGTAATCATTTTAGAGATAAAAAAAAGGAACTTCAAGAAAAGACAGATCTTTGTTTAACTATCAAAAAGCAAATAACATCGTCATCATGGATATACCAGCTTTTTCTACTGAAAAAATACTACATCTTTTCAATGGCACTGGTAAGTTGAAATGTATTCTCATTTCCTGACACTAAGCCTGGGTATGCCAAGCAGGTCAATTGGAGATTACAAAATCTGCATTGCATGAAACAGTCTTGTCACAACTATAGTAAGCTTCTGTACACAGTCTTGCAATATAAATAACTGAATGGGTGTATTGATATTAAATAATAAGAACCTGCAAATCTTTCTTATGAAATGTGTACCTGCAATTTTTTTTAGTGCCCTTTAAGTTTTACTAGCAAAAAGGCAATACTAACCAGTAATTTGCTAGCATTAATTTTGACCCATCAATCACAAAATTATCATAATGTTGGTTTATATACACATAAATATCCAAATTTCATAATTGCATCTGGAACAAGAATCCCAAATGTTTGAAACACCAGTATTGATATAATGATAAATGGGAAAGATCAAGAGTCAAGATCACACACTCCAGTTAGTCTTTGAGCAACTGAAATGAAACAGCATCAGCTTATCCAAAACTAAGTGTAAATTCAATGATAAACTGGAATTTTCTGGGCACATCGTCTAGAGGTGGAGTGAGACCAGATTAGTAAAAACACATAATACTGAAAAAACTACGAGCATTTCTTGGATCAGTTAACCATCGTTTTATATTCATTTCAAACTTTGCACACAATACTCAAAAAAAAAAAAAAAATGCCCCTGGGGTATAGATCACCGAGCAAAACAATGCATTTGATGGAATTAATAACTGGAGCATGATGCAGTGTTAAGATATTTTAATCCATTGAAGAAAACCAAAATCACTAAGACACATTACCTACAGGATTAGGTGGTATACTGACATAGAAGGAAACAAACAATCATAAAAGCCATGATATTGTATGTGCCAGTAGCATTATCTGAAGCAAAAATACTCCCAACTCTCACTATTGTTTGGGTTGGGGAATGTTACCCCCATATTTGTATGGTTCTCACTTTGACATTATTTCAGGTCATAAACTATTGGATTCAATACTCAACAATCCCATGTCATAACCTTCAGTTTGCATCAAAAGGTGGAGTTTAAAACTGCAGCAATGCAATTACACTGTGAAATACCAGCCTGGAAAGCATAACATACCAGAATACATTCCTCCACACACACAAATACGTGCACTATTACAAACCAACAACTATAAATGTAAAATTACATTCTATGCCAAAAGTCATCATTATGGGTGAAATTAAGGATGCCACATTTCAAAGGTTTACATAAAGAAAACTGGCACAATTATTTGCTTGTTAAATTTCTCGTAAAGCTATTTGACAGTTATTTGTGCTAGCCATCTTTAACTTTGAAGTTACAGACTAGAAGGCAGTTAGTCCACACAACCCACTGCTAAATTGTGGGCTACTCTACTCAAATGGTGGGATTTGACTGTTATTCTTATAATGCATTCATGGCTCAAAGTGTGAACCACAGAACCATAGTATGGCAAACTAACCACTGAGCCTTGCACAGTTTGAAAACCACCATAAAATATTACAGCTAAGTCAAAGTTTACACTGACTCGTTATTGACCAATGCAAACATCATGCTCGGATGATTATTACAAGACCTCTATAACAATTATTGATAAGCATAACATATGAAGCCCACTTGTGCCTTATCAAGGTAAAACAATTAATATTAAGAGTTTTTCTGCAAAATAAACAAGTAATACAAACTGTATCTCATACCAGGCTACAAATGTATCAAACACACTAGAACCACCTTTTCAAAATCTGAAATTTAGAAACTTTATGCAACTCCTTGGTTACAAGCTAAGGAAGATCACACTTCGCTGGTATGGCACAACACTCCATAGAACACTGGGTAAGTGGCTGTTATTGAAGGACCATCATACAGTCAAAACTATCAATTCTTATGAAATTACACCACACACAACTGTGGGAAGACCTATGCAAAAGATTGTTTAATCATACCTTCTGCACTAAACTTCCATTACACAAACAACTAAATGTTGAAAATGTAAGGAGTACTAAGCTGAGTGATGTAACCAATCAAGCAAACAAATCAAATATAAAAGTAGGAGATTATGTTTACTACATTGTACAAAGAACATTAAACAGAAAACTCATAATTACAATCATATATCTTCAGAACCATAACAATAAAAAAGACCAATGATAACTACAAAAGATCATTCTAAATCTGTCCAACTTCAAAACACTGCTGTAAGAACACAAAGTATATGCACAGTAATATTCTTATTTCAGTGACTTAAATGATATACCAAGAAACACAAAAACCAGGCAACAACAAAACACTAATCAAAAGTAGAAAACAGACAACTTTCTTTGGATTTAACCAATGAACGGATGTTGATACAACAATATCTACACAATAATAAAAATGGGGGAGGGATGTAGTGTAATACACTTAATATAGCTAGACTTTCTGGTCACTTGACTGGTGTATTCTATATGTGAGTGAGAGATGGAGAAAAAGGAATGAGCCTGTTTCAGAAACAGTAGTGAAACTTAAAGTGGTTGTTCAATGTCTTTTCAAAAAGAGTTTTGAACCATGTTATAAACACCAGCAACTGGTTATAAGATAGGATGTGTGTTGTTTTACCAGTAAATTGTAGTTTGCAGTCCAAGCTCTGCAAACACTGTGGTAATTTTTTGGGACTAGTTTTCAAAGTATATTTTTTAATAATTTTCATAGTTCCCACATTTTAAGCAAAAAAAATTGCATAATAATTCCAAAACTATTTCATAGTTTTTTTGTTTTTACAATTTAAAGTATACAGTTTGTAGTCGACAACTATAACATTGTACTTGAAACTAAAAACTCCAATCATGAATAATATAAATAACTTATTTGCATAGAGTTAAGAGTATGACATGTTGCAAAATATTTGTCATATATTTTGCACTACTTGTTTTAAATATAAATCCATAACATTTAACCTATTCACTGTGACTGGGACATATATTTCCAAGCGCACTGGGAATTATACATCCCAGCTGTATTGAAAAGGTTAAACCAATTATTTCCTAATCATTTACCTCCTATGGTTTTATAGGGATTCTGGCAGATATTGTCAAGTGCAGCTCTTAGTGCATGTTTATTGAGAGAAAATAATCCCAAAAATGGAGAAAACTTGCATTTAAAATGTTTAACTTTCTATGACCAAAAGATTTACCAAAATAAGTACTTGAATTGTCTAGCTATGTATTTTCTTGCCATATTCAAGCACATGTAACAAGTCACCTTCTGAAAGTGTTCCCACAATTTCAATCTGTTTACTTTGACATGCTTATACCACATCAAGTTCTATTTATAGCCTCAACAACTGCAAAAGCTTCAGCCATAAACATTACAGATTAAATGAGGCAGTATATACTAAGCTATCATTTAAGTTTCCCAAGCAGTCTCCAGACACAGTGATGATGAAAGTAGTTTCAACCTGCCTATCATAAGATCAAATATCACTGTTAAATATAAGTGACACTACAAACATCAGTGCCCTAACATACTGAGCATCATAAGAATAGTTTGAAAACTTGCCACAGATATAATTGTGTAAAGTCAACACATCATCAAAAAATCATAAACATGTGCACAAATTTACCACCATCTAATTTTGGTATAATATCCATTATTTGGCACTTTTTGATTGGATCATGCTGTATAGAGGTAGAATACACCATGCAATCTTACAATGGTATAATGTTGCAACCCAAGTTGCCTGGGTGATCAGTGAGTAAAAGAAGGTTTTGTGCAATATATTGCAATGCACTTATAAATATCCCAAAATATTACAATTTCAGAGAGATAGACTTTAACTGTTAATTTTTACAATAAATTATTAGAAATCACTTGTAAAACATTTAATACATGTTAGGAGATAAAATCAGCTTTATAACATAGAATCACTTTACTCAAACATTTTATTTTTACTGTTCATTCTACACTGGGTTCTCATGTAACATCAAAAATGCATTTGCTTATAGCTTCGTAAAATTTATTTTGCAATTTTGACTCTCTTCCCAAAAAAGGTTTATTAACTCTTTCAGCTTGTGCTTGCTATGGTTTTCATGCTATACCTTTTAAATCAGTAAGCGAATGTTAAGGAAATTCGACAGATTATCAGTAAACATTACAATGCTTTCATTTGCTTAAGTCTTAAGGTCTGTGAAGCAACGTTTTCTTCATGCCTTTTTTTTTCTTTTTGTATGTTGCTTATCTATCATGCAAAGTAATTTTTATTTTAAGATTAAAAATACTTTTATGCAGCAGAAAATTTTAAAATTTCACATGCAAAATCTTTATAATGTCCATATAGTTATCAAATGTTTCTTAAGAAAAATCTTTATATTTTATCTGTTATTTTCAGTAATTAATCTCTGTGTGGGTTCAATAAATTTGGCCAATCTTGTAACCACCATAAAAAATTAGGAACTAAATTATAAATTATTATATTTTATAAAATTATATTTTATAATTATAAAATGTAAATTATGACTCATTCAAAAATGAAAACAAATTATAACATGAAAACATAAATGTTTAGACTAAATAGCTATAATCTCATAACATTATACATTTATATATATTTATTACTTTATTATATTGACCATTCAGCCATGCCTGGCTAACAATACAGAAGTTACAATAACATGGCTCACGTGCACTCATGTTACTGTATCAAATAACATAAAACTGACCTTTGTCTTGGTTGTGTTTTAGTAGAGTAGTATTTTGTAAAATACAGTCACATTTCAATTATTACACATTATATATGTATATAGATTATTGCTATTTTGAAATAAGTTCTTAAACTTATTTTTCTTAAAACATAGAACAGCAAATAAAGAAGTAAAGCAAACAATTATCTCTCCTAGTTACTAACTTTGTACTTAGTTGCTAAGCCTTTAAAAATTTTGCACATGGAGAATATGAATTTTTTTTAAAGTTTTATATATACATTTTAATAACTAAAAAATAATAAATTACTACATTAATACCATAGAATTCCACTAT